AAATACTACATGTCAAACTTTTAGAACGCAATAAAGCTGTGCTTAGAGAAATCTAGAGCTCTAAATATAATATTACAATACAAAAAAGCTGAATATCAATAAACATACCTCAGATAAAAAGATAACAAACTCAAAGAAAGCAGGAGAAAGAAAACAAAAAATAAGAGCAGAAATTAATTAAACAGAAATAAACATGTATAAGAGAATGGGAAGACAAGCCACAAACTGGGATAAAGTACTGGCAAATAAACATATCTGATAAAGGACTGCTATCCAAAATATAAAAAGAACTCTTAAACCTCAATAAGAAAGCAATCTAATAAAAATGGGCCAAAGACCTTAACAGACGCCTCACCAAAGAAGACATACAGGTTGCAATAAGCATATAAAAATATGCTCCACATCCTATGCCATCAGGGAAATGCAAACTAAAACAACATGATATTACTACAAACATATTAAAATGGTCAAAATCCAGAACACTAACACCACCAAACGCTAGTGAGGGTGTGGAGCTACAGGATCTCTCATTGCAGATGGAAACGCAGAATGGTACAGGCACTTTGGCAACTTGAAAGCAACCAAGATGCCCTTCAGTAGGTAAATAGATAAATAAATGGTGGTACATCCAGACAATGGGATACTATTCAGCACTAAAAAGAAGTGAGCTATCAAGCCATGAAAAGACACGCATATTACTAAACGAAAGAAGCCAATCTGAAAAGGCTATATACTGTATGATACCAACTACATGACATTCTGGAAAAGGGAACATTATGGAATCAGCAAAAAGATCGAGTCGCTGCCAGGGGGTGAGGGGAGGAAGGGACAAGTAAGTGGAGCACAGGGGATTTTTCAGGGCAGTGAAACTACTTAGAATGACACTATAATAGTGGATAAATGTCATTTTACATTTGTCTGAATTCAGAGAACGTACACCACCAAGAGAGATTCCTAATGTACACTACCGACTTTGGGTGGTTATGACGAGTCAGCGCTGGGTCATCAGTTGTAACAAATATACCGTTAGGTAGGGAGGATTGATACATGGGGGAGGCTATGAGTGTGTGGGCACAGGGGTATACAGGAAATCTCTGTACCTCTCAATTTTGCTGTGAATCTAAAACTGCTCATATTTGAAGTATAGCAAAAAAAAAAGCAGAATCAAGAATCAAACACATAGGAATTTTATTTTACACAGCAGTATGTCCTGTTTCTTGACACCCATATCCCAAGAAATCAAGAAGTATTTTTTCCAAATTGAGGTCCTACCTGGTCTAATTGTACTATCTCTTCCAAATAGATGAAGGCGTCTTCTCCCAAGACAAAAATGCTCAATTATATGAAAAATTTCTACAGGTTTTTCTATATTGCCAATTTCAGGTTCTTCTGTGATAATTAAGTCAATGTCAACATTGGCATGAATGAAGTCCCCGTCAGTGCTGCGCTTCACAGTTCCTTTGATCCCCATGAGGCAGTGTTCCTAAATAACAAGAATAGACCAATTAATCTCTTTTCATCAACAGTCATATTTCATAACATTTAAAATTTTATGTCCTCAATTCCAAAACAATCCTCATTTCTCTGACTCTTTGACATACAGTTCTATGGGCAAAAACATGATAGGAAAACCTAGATCTCTGGATGAGTAAAGACTGCCATGTAAGTAAGAAAAACAGCTTTCTCCTGTATTTTCACAACATTCAATACTTCAGAACACTTCATTTCTGACATCAGATGCGTGTGGGTTTTTCCACTTCTATACCAACGCCATAATTCAATTCAATACTGACACTACCCATCTGGGAAGCGCAGACCCCAATGCATAGGTCAAGAGCTTAGTCAACATAAGACTGCCCTTCACTT